TATTAATTAGCAAAGACATTAAAATGTAACAAACATTTATGTTTATATTTAAGGGACAAAGACATTAAAATGTAACAGACGGTGGAAGCGGATTTATCAGTGAGAGTGGCTTCACTTCTTCAGTCACGACTCACGAGCAACACTGTCCCGGGAGAATAGCCAGTTGAAGCAGCATATGGCGATACTAAACAGGACAAGCTCATAAGAGAAGGTAAATAAACCACACATTCAAGAAGTCTGAATACAAAAAAAAAAAAACTAAAATCCTATATTTTATTTCAAAATCAAATGATTTGTTTTTTATCCGATATCCGGTTAGTTCAACCGATTTATCAGGTACGGGTTAATGGCAGATTTTTGTGGGTTTTTTATTCGGTTTTGAAAAAACCGGACATCTGAGCAAAAAAAAAAAAAATTATCGGACATTAGCACTAAACCTAAACCGGAGAAGTGTACGGATTGCATGTTAACTGATCATACTAAACGGTTCGGGTCGGACGTGAAAACACTAATTTATATGTATATAAAAAAATTTATTAAAAGACACAAAATATTCAACTCTTTAAAGATTGAACAATTTCTTTACTTATACAGAAAATTGTGACCATCAACCATTTCCCGCGCAAGGCGCGGGTCCTGTATCTAGTAAAGCTAGTAAATATTGATCGAAGAAGTTTTCAATGTAGACGAGTCTGTAGTACTTTTTAATCATAAGGTTGGGATCATTTCTTGGAAAAACCCATATCATGGCATTCCATGACAATACACAATTGGACTTAATTGAACATAATCTCCACACCTCAAAATCATTTGAAGACCGGTTAAACCAAGAGTATTAGGCAAATCAGTCTTATATAATAAAATAGGGTTTCATCTTAATTCATATTCTAAAAAGTTGACATGTGTAATTTTTCATTGTGACATGTATTAGTATATATATTAGATACTAATTCGCGGTACACCGCAGAACATTATTTTATTTTTGGTTAAATCACATTATTTTATTTATTTTACTTTAATACTATAATTTATCATAAATTTAAAAATGTACCTATTGATGTCGTGTTTAATTTCTTTATATATTGTTGTTTTGTCATATTTTAAATCGACAAATCATTAGTTTGTCAAAGGATAAGTGGCATTTTGGTAAAATTTTGTGATCTGAAAATCTGTAGTAAAAGGGAAATATACTCTCAACATTATCTTTCTTTCTCACACACAATTCTTCTTCCTCCACGATTCTCTCCTTCTTTTAATCTTTCTCTCTCATTTATTTCTCTCATTCTCAACAAACACTAAATCATAATGGTTAGATTTCTTAAAATCGATGAAACTATATTGTGATCTTTCTTTTTCTATATATTCACTATTTTTTTTTGATGAAAACGAGATCATTGGTCCCAAAATCTAAACATTCGATTTTAGTTCACCACCACCACCAAGAGCCAAAGTTCTTACCCTCACCGGCCACCGCCATCAACATTCTCCCTTTGTCATCACAACCACTTCACATTCCTCCACCTCTAACATACATATCATTTTCATCACCGCCAACTAACAATCCGTCACCACCATCGCAATTTCTAATTTACTACATTCACTTTCACCACTACCACCACCATATTTTCATTATACAACCACCAATTCAAACTAAATACGAATTTGAAAAGAAAAAAAAAAGGAAATTTTTAATTTTAGACATTGAAATCACCCAAAAAACTGCTAAAACTGCTAAGAGTCTCTCCAAACTTGACAAATCAGCTTTTTCAGCTGTTCTCAGCCTGACACATCATTAAAAAAATTGTCCAATCAAATTATAACATTAATACAGCTCATCATTTTCGTTCAGTAAAAATCTTCCCCAGTTCCACATCATTTTCTGATATCATCATCTTGGGTTTTTTAAATACCCATCTTGGTCTTTTTAATTCATGGGCCTTTTAATTATTTTGTTTATAATCACAAACCCCAAACGTGGTGGGTTGTTGAAATAGGCTTTTGGGTTTGGCCTTCTGATCGATGAACAAACCATCGGATTTCGACTGTAGCCATCAATAGCTTTTTGGAAGCTCAATTTGCGATTTCTCTCACCACGCCTTGGGGTCTCGGCTCCTCTTCCAGATTGCTTGATCCTCGTCCATTCTCAAACCCATGTTAGTGTTTACCTAGACAAGAAATCCAGGTGAGAAATTCCACCTCCTTCGAGTTCTATGTTTCACTTCAGTGGCATTATATATCACTTGCTATGAGCAAGGATCTGCTCAATTTTGATAAAATGAGAGCTTTTTATGGTAGACTATAGCAACTTCTAGAACTTTAAAATTTGAGAAATCGCTATGGACTTGTTTGTGGTTCAATTACAATTTGCAGCTAGCTCTTGAGTAGGTTTTTGTATTAGTTTGATTTTTGAACATTTCAGTTTTTAACATTTAACTTTGCCTTAAGCCCCGATAAACCTGAGCATGTCACTGTGTTTAGACTGTAGCTCGTAGAACATATCTTGCTAGAAAACTCTCAACACGATTATAATGGAAATGCGAGACAGATGCAATGACCGTTGACCACGTATTTAAGTAATTACTCGAGCAATTAAAAAACGACTCTCGATGATGGATTGTTTGTTGTGCTAAGAGATAAAATTTATAAGAGGTCAGAGGTGTGTTAGACGTGCCTTCTTAATTAAGTGTTTCGTATTATGAGATCTCGAAAGGATCTGAAGATCCTCTCACTAATTAACTTCAAGATCTTTCTACATTTTATACACATGTTTGGACTTTAATTTGGACTAAAAATATAAAGCTGTATAGATGAAGTTTGTATAGTAATGGCGAGAACATGATCTTTCCACATGTTGCTTATGCATGATGCGTTATTTTAACTGTTATTTTATTTCGTTCATATCCTGCTTCTACGCATCATCATTATATTATACAATTTATCAAGAAAAGCTTTATCATATATACAGTAAAGGATATTGATTATAACAAAAAACTGCTTTTCACATAAAGTTTTTTTTAATCATAAAATTAGTTAAATATCTCTATAAATTAATAATTTTAGCAATAAATTAATATAATTCACTATCTCGACATTATTAATCTATGGAAATTTAACTGAATATACAAAATCAAAGTAGCACAATTTTTTTATTGTAACGAGGCAACGAGCAGTTTATATATATGGTCATATATTTTGTTGTTGCTGATACTCTTGCTAAGCATTGAGCTAAGTTGTATAGTCAGAAGAACATTGGATAAGGTTAATATATTTATTTGGGGCGCGCAAAAGAAAAGAAGATAACATAAACTTTTTTAAAGGCTAATGCTAAACACAAAGAAGTTAAACCCTAAACCGACTTTTGTGATCTCTAGCTCTAAGCCGAATGCTAAATCCCTACAACATTATTATTCACACTTTCTTTTAACAGTCTGACTCGCCAATCTCATGTTCTCTATTACACCTGCATGGCTGCATTTGAACTCATACTGTCAACTATATTACGGTCTCAATTAAAAGATAGTAGTGTACTAAAAAAATATCCATAAAACATTATTATTATCACACTTTCTTTCATGCACACACATAGACTATGAAAGTTAAATGGTTAACCCAACTCAACTCAACTCATTACCCAATGAGTTTAGAGTTAAATGAGTTGATGGGTTGACTCAACTCATTAGTATAATGAGTTGAGTCAACCCATCAACTCATTTAATTTGATGGGTTAGAAGGTTAAATGGGTTGACTCATTAACCTATTAATGTAATAAATAAATTAATAATTAAAATATAATAATAATAATAATAATCAACGTCACTATTATTTACGGATTTATATTTTTGGCGAAAAAATTACGGATTTACGTTTTTGGCGGGAAAATTTTACATTCTCATTTTTGGCTAAAAATTATAAAAAATTTTGGCGGGAAAATCATGGATTTACGTTTTTGGCGGGAAAATCACGGATTTACGTTTTTGGCGGGAAAATTACGGATTTACGTTTTTGGCGGGAAAATTTTACATTCTCATTTTTGGCTAAAAATTATAAAAAATTTTGGTGGAAAAATCACGGATTTACGTTTTTGGCGGGAAAATTACGGATTTACGTTTTTGGCGGGAAAATTTTACATTCTCATTTTTGGCTAAAAATTATAAAAAATTTTGGCGGAAAAATCACGGATTTACGTTTTTGGCGGGAAAATCACGGATTTACGTTTTTGGCGGGAAAATCACGGATTTACGTTTTTGGCGGGAAAATTACATATTTTTGTTTTTGGTTAAAAATTATAAAAAAATTTGGCGGGAAAATTGTGGATTTACGTTTTTGGCGGGAAAATTGCGGATTTACGTTTTTGGCGGGAAAATCACGAATTTATATTTTGGTGGAAAAATTGTGTATTTACATTTTTGGCGGGAAAATTAAGGACTATATTCAATCGGTTTAGAAGTTTTGGTTAGACTCAAATTGAAATCGGTTTAGAGATTTGAATTGGTTTGATTCAATTTAACAAAAATTGATGGGTTAAATGGGTAAACCATTGAAACCACTGACCCATTATAACCCAACTCATTTGATCCATCAACTCATTTGACTCATTAACTCATTTGATCCATCAACTCATTTGAGTCAAAATTTTCAACTCATTAGGGTTCATGGGTTGAGTTGAGTTTTGGTTGACCCATGAATCTTGACCCATTTTGACATAGTAAATTAAAAAATGACCATATTAATAAATTCGCTTCTAGATAATAAAAGAAAAAGAAAACTGAAAACTGTGTATAAAATTGGGCACCTCCCTACCTACTTATTGTACATCATTTCTCCACATTGTTGATCAGCTCTCTTTATCTCTCTTTCTCTCTCTACTCCAAGCATAAGAGGTAATCTCTCTCAATAGTATGAAACCACCTTGTAAAACGTATTGTAACTAATTTTAAAACATCTTTAAATGTTTAAGGTCTTCCTTTTTCACCCAAGAAATAGGGTTCTTCAATTCTACTCATGTCTTTTGTTTGTTTCTGAAAATGATTTTGCATATTTTCTCAAGTGGTAATGATTTAAAGAGATTAATGACTAACTAAGGAACAAAATAAAATCTTTATTGAATAATGATTTGAATCAGTTCTCAATGGCCCAAATGTTGGAAGCAAAAGGTGGAAGGGGAGGGAATCAATGGGATGATGGAGCCGACCATGAAAATGTAACAAAGATACATGTACGAGGTGGTCTTGAAGGAATTCAATTCATCAAGTTTGAGTATGTCAAAGCTGGACAAACCGTTGTTGGACCAATCCATGGTGTCTCGGGTAAAGGTTTCACACAAACGGTAAGCATGTTAAATATTGAAATACCCGAACTCTTTTTATTTGAATATATAAGGTTCTATCCCGTATTGTGCATGGAGTAACTTTTTTAAAACAATGTTTTGAAAATTTTAATACAAAAACTAATCGGTTGTGAAGGTGATATGATGTTAATAAATATACATGTATCCTTCGTATCAGAGTTTTTTAGTTGGTCAACATTTGATCGGTGCTTTAATTTAGTTATTTAATCGATTCTCCATAATTGTTTCAAATTATCCTTAGGCTAACATATCTTATTATATAAAATTTGGTTAAAATTAGTAACTCGCATGATCGTGATACGTATCATGTCTATCGATCAAATTTTGATACGTGTAAGATATTTCTCCTAATTAGAAACTTACATATTTTAACATAAAAATAAAAAAAATACAAAACTTTAACAAAAAAAAAAAGGAAAAAAAAAGATATATTAAGAAAGTATACAATTATAATGATATACTTCAGTAAAATCAAGAAAATTTTATTTTACAAAATGAACAGTTATTAAAAGGAAAAATATCTGATCACATAATTAATATAATGTGTTTTTTTTCTTCTGAAATTTAGTAATTAATATGATTGCTACACATATCAAGTCTACTGATCAAAGATTTGACCATGTATTATGATTTAACTTAATATATTATTGATTTCAATTTCCTTTCCAATTAGAAATATGTGATGATCTAAATTAATTTTTTATATTATTTATTTGTTTATGTGAGATCAATACTCCCTCCGTATTTTAATAATTGTCGTTTTAGAAAATTTATTTTTTTGAATTGGATGTCGTTTTCAAATTTCTATGCAATTTTTTTTACTTTTTAATGTTTTATGACACATCATAAAACATTAAAAAGTAAGAAATTTTGCATAAATTTTTAAAACGACATCCAATTCAAAAAAATAAATTTTCTAAAACGACAATTATTAAAATACGGAGGGAGTATATATTTTTGCCTTTTTGTAACTATTTTTACTATTGATCTGATTTTACATAATTGATTTAATGTGTTCATATAAGCATATTGTGGGTGGTGGTAACGAGCATACTTCAACATAAATTAATTTGGGATTAAAATACATTTTTAGTTGTAAAGTAGATAGTAGATTTGTAAATAGATATAAATAAGATGACGATTGGACAGGTGCTTTACCTGTAAAATATTTTCTGGAGAAGTTATGAAATCATATTTAATTTGGCGAGATTGCGAAACCACGTCTTATAAGATTTGATATAATAAAAATAATGATAAATATTTGGCAAATGTTTTTTGTATTGATAATTTAACTTTACTAGATTAATCTACTAAATGTTACAATAAATTTAAAATATAGAAATGCAAACTAGTGTATTAATGCAAAAAAATGATTGTATAAATAAAATTTTATTTATAACAAAAAATTCAATATATATTTGTGTTAAATTCAATTTTATTTAAAAGTTTTAAAACCCGTATATAAAACCGGTCCTAATATAGTACCCTCTTTGTTTTAAATTAGTTATCGTTTAAGGTTTTTTCACGCCTATTAAGAAAACATTCAATTTTCTTGTTTTACCCCTAATTAATGTATTGTTTTATTTAATATTATCAATTAATAAGATAAGAGAGTAGGGGTAAAATTAGAAAATATGTCAAAAATATGCATTGAAAACTTAAAAACACAACTAATTTGAAACAAAATTCAAACGACAACTAATTTAAAACGAATGGAGTATGAAATATATATGTAGACGATATATTACTGATCACGTTGTAATATTTTTGTTTTTTTCTCATAGTTTGAGATTAATCATCTCAACGACGAACATCTGGTGTCGGTAAAGGGTTGCTATGATAACATATCCGGTGTGATTCAAGCACTTCAATTCGAAACCAATCAGAGGAGTTCTGAAGTCATGGGATACGATGACAATGGCACTAAGTTTACACTTGAAGTCAGTGGAAACAAAATTACTGGGTTCCATGGATCTGCTGAGGCAAACCTAAAATCTCTAGGAGCTTATTTCACACCACTTGCTCCTATTAAACTAGAATACCAAGGTAGTGCTACTGGAGGCAGGCCATGGGACCATGGTATTTACACCGGCGTAAGAAAAATCTATGTTACATATAGTCCCTCTGGGATATCGCATATCAAGGTCGACTACGACAAAATTGGCGAAGTGGAAACGCGTCAAGACGGGGATATGTTAGGAGAAAATAGGGTCCTAGGACAACAAAACGAGGTTCTAGTTTAAACATTACTTACTGCTTCTTTTTATTTATATTTGTTTTGGTAAAATACTAAAACTTTGATAGAGTACGTCAAGAGGAAAGCAAATATGGGAAGGATCATAGAACATTCGTTGACCCTTCAATTTTTAAAAATATCTAAATTGAAGAAACCCTTTATTTGCAGTTTGTAGTGGACTATCCATATGAATATGTTACATCAATCGAGGGGACCTGTGACATAGTCTCTGGCAGTTCAAACCGAGTTAGGTCGTTGAGTTTCAAGACATCAAAAGACAGAACATCTCCTACATATGGACATAAGGGTGAGCGAACATTCGTGTTTGAGAGCAGAGGTAGGGCTCTTGTTGGGCTTCATGGAAGGGGTGGTTTTGCTATTGATGCTATAGGTGCACATTTTGCTGCGCCTCCTATTCCTCCTCCTCCTCCCACGGAGAAACTACAAGGATCAGGTGGTGACGGAGGAGAATCATGGGACGATGGAGCTTTCGATGGTGTGAGAAAGATATACGTGGGACAAGGTAATAATGGTATTGCATCTGTCAAGTTTGTGTATGACAAGAACAACCAGTTGGTACTAGGAGAAGAGCATGGAAAGCAGACTTTGCTTGGATACGAAGAGGTGATTATACTACTTCGTTGCTATTTCCTTAAGGCTTAAACTATAACTATAAAGTTGTGTTATTGTTTTTTCTGATGAACCGCTTTCACAGTTCAAGTTGGAGTATCCGAGTGAATACATCACAGCAGTGGAGGGGTATTTTGATAAAGTATTTGGAAGTGAATCTTCAGTAGTAGTCATGCTTAAGTTCAAGACCAATAAACGAACCTCGCCGCCTTTTGGAATGGATGCTGGAGTTAGCTTCATACTCGGGAAGGAAGGTCACAAAGTGGTAGGGTTCCATGGAAAAGCTAGTCCCGAGCTCTATCAGATTGGGGTCAGTGTCGCACCAATCACCAAGTGACGTCCTTGAACTATATAATGCATGTTGGTTAAGGCGCCTCTCTCGTATCTCCACCACTTTACTACGTGTGTTGTCTCCCATGTTTTATTTTGAATAATCTTTTCAATCAAGCAATCTCGTGTAATAAAACCAAGGTTTTCGAACCTGTAGGTTAACTTTTTATTTTGAATAATCTAATTTCAATCAAGCAATCTTTTGATTTTTTTGCTTTATTACAAGGATTACAAAACAAATGTTTTGAATATGTTTAATCCCTACCGCAGTGTTTTTTTTTGAAGTAACGTTAATTAATAAATAAAAAATTACGGTTGCAGTATCATATTTGATAACAAAATTTGTATATATCTTTATTTTAAAATTTAAAATGTGGTTGGCTAATACTGTTGTATGATATTAATAAGCAAGGGTTTAGGCGCCAAAATATATATAAGATTTTGAGGGCATAAAATTAATAAAATCACTTATATCACAGTGGTTGTTTTGGATTTTACCCTTTTTCATGATCCGGGTTCGAACCTCCCAAACAATAATTTGCTATATTTTTAATATTTCTAGGTAAAAATTTTTTTTTTGCTTTAGGCATCACATAGTATTGGGCCGGCCCAGTAGAAGAGGATTAGATCTTGCATTCATCGATTTGCTAAGTTGGGGAATCGATGAAGGGGCGTGGTTAGTCGGCGTTTGAACTATTATGGGAGGTTTGTTGGAGGGTTAGCTCCACATCAGAAACAGATCGGCGATAGAAACCGTGCACTCTGGTCAAAGATCTTATATCTGATTTCGGCTACATCATAGTGGACCTTGTGCACGTCGGTTCTAGTAGGTGGGAGATTCTGCTTTCCGACAGCCACTCAAATCAAATCTCAGCCACCGTCGTTGTTTTTTCAATTAACTTTTCCGATTTTGTAACTGTAGATCTTTGTAAACACATGGCCGAAGCCCATTTGGGAGATTTAAATAAACTAATTATTATTATTAAAAAAGAATTTTTTTTTGCTCCATATGATTTCTTTCGTATTTTTGGGCTTTTCTGTTTGCCTTTTTATCATCGTTCTTCGTTAGATTATTTGTTTCATGGTTTTTCTTATATATTCACTGGATCTTTGTGTTAAAAATTATGATATGAAATTTTCATCTTCATTTTTGTTTTATTTTGTACTATTACTTCAAAGTTCACACTATAATCTAACGTATCTATACTAGTATTTTTGCAGTCACTTTTGAGTCGGGTGGATAAAATTGTTCTCGGATACTTTGGATACCCGACCCGTTTACAAATTTTAGTCATAAAAAGTTTGTTGGGTCGGGTTATATTTAACCCAACTCATACACCGGATATTCTATATTTAATAATTTAGATTTTTAGAAGATTTGATTAAGATTTAGAATTATGATTCTCCTATCATCTTTGTTTGATTTGTTTTTAACTGTTTTGAATCATCATATAATACATAAAGTAAAAAAAAAATCAATTTTTTTCTGCATATACTGTGATTCGAAATTAAAAAAACGGACATATATTATCCAATTGACGAAAATGTGTGTTCAACATTCTACATTGATTAAAATATTTAGACAATGATTCAGAATCATATCATAAATAAAATCAACATTAATAACATTAATGAGTTTTTTGGCGGGACGGGTTTGGCGGGACGGGTTTTTGAATCAACAATAATAAAAAGATTAAAATATCATTAATCCGCCACTTCAATACGGATTAAATCCGAAATTGTTTTTAATACCACCAATACTAGATTTTAACCCGCGGTACACCGCGGGATGATTTAATTTTAAAGTTAGTATAAAAATATTTTGTAAATTGTATCTCCTTATAACATATTTATTTATATTATAGTTTACAATTGTTATTAAGTAACGGTATACCACGAGTCCACGAGACAATTATTAATAAACTGAGAATTTAACCCGTATTAAAGCGGTATATAAATATTGATTCAAATTCGTCCGCCATATAAATCATTTCTGAAATATAACCCGTTCCATAATTTCTTAACCCGTCCCGTGATTTGTTTTTATTTTAAAATTTAATGATTATTTATTATATATAAAAGTTTACAAATCATATCATTCTCTAAGACATTTATATTTTAATAAACTAAAGATTTAATATGTATTAAAGTGGCATGTTAATGATATTTTAAAATTTTATAAATATTGTTATTAAGTAACATTATACCACAAGATAATTTTTGGTTTTATACAATCTTTTCTAAATGAGACTGATTTAATATGTCTAATATTTGTGGTATTAAAAAAAATAAGGATTTAATCCATATTGAAGCGGCGGATTAATGATATTTTAATTTTTTTATTATTGTTGATTCAAAAACCCGTCCCGCCAAACCCGTCCGGCAAAAAAACTCATTTATTTTATTAATGTTCTTATTTATGATATGATTCTGAATCATTGTCTAAATATTTTAATCGATGTAGAACGTTGAACACACATTTTCGTCAATTGGATAATATATGTCTGTTTTTAAAATTTCGAATCACAGTATATGCAGAAAAAAATTGATTTTTTTTTTACTTTATGTATTATATGATGATTCAAAACAGTTAAAAACAAATCAAACAAAGATGATAGGAGAATCATAATTATAAATCTTTATCAAATCTTCTAAATATCTAAATTATTAAATATGGAATATCCGGTGTATGAGTTGGGTTAAATATAACCCGACCCAACAAATTTTTTGTGAAAGAATTTTAAAAACGGGTCGGGTATCCGATATACCCGGTAGCATTTTTACCCACCCGCCACCAAAGTGTTGCAAAAATACTAGTATAGATTAGACATATTAAATCAGTCCATTTAGAAAAAATTGTATAAAACCAAAAATTATCCCGTGGTATAATATTACTTAATAACAATTGTAAACTATAAAATATAAATATCTTAGAAAATGATACATTTTGCAAACTTTTATATATAATAAATAATCGTTAAATTTTTAAAATTACTACTTTTAGAAAACAAATCACGGGACGGGTTAAGAAGTTACAGGACGGGTTATATTTCGGAACGAAGTTAAATGGTGGACGAGTTTGAATCAATATTTATAAAATATCATAAAATGCCGCTTTAATACAGATTAAATATTCAGTTTATTAAAATATAAATGTCTTAGAGAATGATATGATTTGTAAACTTTTATATATAATAAATAATCATTAAATTTGAAAATAAAAACAAATCACTGGACGGGTTAAGAAATTACGGAATGGGTTATATTTCGGAACGGATTTATATGGCAGACAAATTTGAATCAATATTTATAAGTATCATTAACATGCCACTTTAGTACGGCTTAAATCCTCAGTTTATTAACAATTGTCTCGTGGACTCGTGGTATATCGTTACTTAATAACAATTGTAAACTATAATATAAATAAATATTTTATAAGGAGATACAATTTATAAAATATTTTTATACTAACTTTAAAAATAAATCATCCCGCGGTGTACCACGGGTTAAAATCTAGTAGTGGTACATGAAAATAATCATGCTATCTTTATTTTATTTTTTTGGTCGGAATCATGCTATCTTTATTGCTAATCATTTGTTTATTTGTTTAGATGGCTCTTTATTTGCAATTTTATAGTTTCTTCTCTAATTAGCACGATGTCTAACGTATTATAATTAACATATATAGTATTTTGAAAGTGTTTAACATGGAGCGCATTGTTGAGGAAGAAAGAGAAACTACACGACATAGAAAAAATTGAAACAGAAGATGACGAGTTAGATTTGGACATTATTTTTTTGTTATTAGGAAATGTAAATGCGGATGAGGTAATAATAAAGTGCAGAGAGTAAACGAGACAAAAAGTTTATTTAATGAGGTTCAGTTTTACTTATTCCTCGGGATTTGATTTCAGTAGAACAAGAAAGCAAATTACAACCAATTCACACACGCGTAAAACAAGCACAACCCTCTTGATTTACCGCTCCTTTGTATAAAGTGAAACTAAACTCCCTCTGAGTCTAGATTTAATCAGGATAACCTAACACTGAGCTAAACTCCCCCTGAGCCTAGACTACAACTCTTCAAGTCTCTGGACCAACTGTCACACACGAACGTTACACCAACATACAAATAAGCTTGATCACACAAGCATCAAACCGCGAAACTATGTCGCACAAAACTGCGAACTATGTCGCACACACCCTTAGAAAGCTCTCAATGATTTGTCTCTATGCCTCAGCTCTCTTACTTCTCCAAGACGTCCTCAACACCTCCTTATATAGCCAAAACGATTTCCTAATCACCATAAGAGAAGATTTCCAAATTCCATAAGGAAAAGTAATTTCCTTTTACACTTTTCTTTTTTCTCATCAAACTTCACTTTCATCAAGTCTTCCAAATCTCTTTAAGTCATTTTTCTTTTTTGATTCGTCCTCTAAACACGCTCCAAACATATCTTCTCAAATCTTCTAGAAACCGACACTCACACAAAAACAGCATCTTGAATTACTTTTTAAATCATTCAGCAACTCCATCACACAAAATCTTGTATTACTTCTTGACTCATTCAACAACTCCATCAGCAGCAAGTACATCTTCAGAAAATGCAACAACGAATACTTTTATTAATCGTCCACTTCGTCGAGCAATCTCAAACTCTAGGTATAATTATATCCAAAATGCTCTCATGGATAATCATGAGCATTCCGACAGTTATATTGTATTGATCCAGATGTATTTCATAAATTTTGCGATGTCATAAGAGTGAAAACATAGCTAAGAGATATGTGATACATATGCGTCAAAGAATATTTGGCTACATTTTTACTCACGGTTGGTCAAAACTCAAGATATTGTTACACAGTGGACACATTAAAACAGATCAAATATACTACAAACATAAATTTTCATAAGGCACTTGAGGCATTAGCTTTCATCGTGCCATGTTGGATGGCTAAACCTGAAGTTAGAGTACATGCGAAAATAAGAGATAGTACAAGTTTTTATCCTCATTTCAAGGTAATTGTTTATTTAAAATTGTTTATTGAGATTGACTAGCATATGAAATTTTTTATTAGTATATATAGAATTGCATCGGAGCCATCGATGGAACACATATTTTTGCTAAGGTACCAACATGTGATGCACCTAGTTTCCGTAATCGGAAAGGGTTCATATCCTCTCTTTTTTTTGGCAAAACAAACTTTCATTGAATTTAAAAGAGTTATTACAAAGACATATACAGAACTACTGTATACAGAACTACTGTATCACAGTTATTACATACGCAGATGTATGTGCCATACACTAAGAAAAATACATCAAAAGGGTGTTTGACGATGCTTTCTGTAGAGTAGTCTTACTCGCTAACTGATCAGAAGATCCATTATTGTCCAACTTCATATTTGATTCTCTTTGTTACGATTTGTATGCAACAATTTGTGGCTGAACTTTTTTTCACAAATCGTAGTGTTAAACCCGATGTGTCCAGTTTTAATTCTAAAATGTAGACACAGTGGCACCAAAACTTCCGTACCAAGATCTTTAGAAATATGTCGACTTTGAAGTACTCTTCGACAAAACCACAAATAGCTTTGCCGTATCATCCCAAGTGCACGAGCCTCTCATGTAAATAGATTCCCATATAAATGTCGCTTATGCATTCCTCAACGACCAAATTTGAACAATACCAATCAAATCTTGTCGCCAATATTTAACCAAGCCCACATGTAGTCTCGACATCTTAATCCAACCAAAGCTAAATTGATGCAGCCGTAATCCCATCCAACAATCAATATAAATCCATTTACTCGCTTTCCAATTCCAGATCTTAAATTGATCACCATTTCTCAAATTGGAGAAATCCCAATTAGATTGGAGGCACGTACCAATGATAAAATAATGAAAAACACATTTCCAGCGCCTCAAAGGAGCATTGGTCTTCAAGCTATCCTTAAAGGACAAACTAGATAAGATGAGAACTAGAAGGCATCGATTTATTGTCGTTTCTCCTACATAGACATCGACCAATATAGTAATCAAAACATCAGCAAATCCAAAGTTAATTCCTTGCTTCTTGCATCTGTAATTTTCACTCGATTTGGACTGGAGATAAGAGATGTTCCGATATTGACACGCAACAGAGGCAAATTTACAATCAATTGTCCATGGCGGTTTCGTCAAACGAATTTCAAATTCCATAGATTGGAAAAGAAAACCGCCTGGGAATTTCCCAACATAACGAAACCGACACTTGCTTTAACACATTTGGAGAAACTGGTCGGAAAATCACTTGCGTGAAGAAGAAAAAGGCAGATTCTGCAATTTACCCTTGTAATCATCTTCAAGAAAGACAAGCAAAGAGGAGATTATTATTAACCTAAATCTATACACAATCAACAGAAGAAGAAAGATAACGATGGCCGACGCCGGCCGGAGACTGAGCAAAAACTAAAGGGTGTGGTGAAGAAACGCTTTGGGTCTCGCTAGTTCGGTTTAGAGAAATCATCTCCTAAGTCCCTTTTTGAGAAACACAAACCTCTTATATCCTTACTTAGTCTACATATCCTTTTCTCATTTAAGCAAATGTGTGAAGAAGATTTTGCCCTTATGTTATTTTTTCATTTAATTAATTTGAAATTAAAAAAAAACGAAACAAAAAAAAGAAAAAAAAGCCCTCCTCGAGAAAAAAGAAAAAAAAGCCCTCCTCGTTCTCGAGCTCGAGCTCCGACGAGACAACTCTGATTCCTCCTCCGCCATAGATCTCTGTCTCCATTGTTGCCGTTTCTTCCCTTCCGGCGAGCTTCGTTGAGACAAGTATGTTCCTTTAGCTGCATAGAGCTTCAAATTGAAGTTTAGGATTTAGACATGTAGGAGATTGAATCCAATTAGATTTAGCTATTTGTGTTTGGGTATGCACATTGGAAGTTTATATATAGTTTCTGGGTCGAATACGTCTGTAAATGGGTAAGAAATGGATTGGATTTCAGCAACTAAATCATAGTGAATTGTAGTTTTGAACCCGAAACCATCCGATTTGAGTTCTTCTCGCGATAGTAGAACTGGTCGAACTGGGTAGAAATGAACCTGAATCGATTGCAAAATATATGTGTAGTATGACTAGTTACACCTGTGTTACTGAGATATATGTAGTATGACTAGTTACACTAGTATTACCCAGATATATGTAGTATGATTAGTTACACTAGTATTACCAAGATATATGTAGTATGACTAGTTATACTAGTATTACCCAGAATTGTAGTACAACTAGTATAACTGACAGAGTTTTTGTATTGTTTTGGAAGGATACAATAATGGAGAACGTGATCATATATTTTAAATGCGAAGGTCGTATGTATAGCTTGATGATGAAGACATCAGGGGAGAAGATAACTCTCTTCATGTTAGAAGGTAGGATATACACGAAACTTGTGTTAGATGACAGTAGGGTTAAATTGCAAATGAGGTACAATGCACTGCTGTTGGGACCAGATGAAGAGATGAACATTTGTGATGATGAGGATGTCGGTGTCTATATAGCTTCAAGTGAAAATAACCGTAGATATATTTTATTTGTGGAGGTCTTCACTAAACTAGAATTGCCCGAGCAACTGTCGAGAGTGGATAAAAATCCGGTTGGTAAGAACTATGTGGAATTTGAATCAAATAAGGATGAAATCAGAGATAATGCCATCAATTTGTACGTAGACAAGGAAAAAAGAAAGCAACAACATGAGGCAATAGAAAAAGATGATTATATTCAAGAGGATGAAATTGTACCTCCGCCTCGCTAATAAGAAGAAGGGAAGAAGTAAAGTAAAAATGTTTCCGTCGGTTAGAGAAAGGCGTCTAAGGACGCGAAACAAGAGGAGGCAGAGGCAATCGTGTCAATGGCTGTTATTTGGCAATCGTAGTATTTGATTTTATCAGCACTTTATGATTTGTAAAACAGTTTCAACTTGGAAAACTATGTAAAACTGGCTTTTCCTGATGTAATACTATATCTTCTTTCTATGGTAAATGGGGAAGACAAGTACAACAAGTAATACTAATGACGAGATTTGGTAATACTGGTAGAAGTAGTATAACTTATTAGCCCTGCGACTTCGAGTAGTTCGGTTCGGGTCGGGTCGGATAGTTAGGATTTCGGTTATTTACAAAAATGTGAAATTGTTCCGAAAATAACCGAATTAGAGTTCGGTTCGATAACCGGTTATTTCGGTTATTGATTGTTGCTACCGAACCGAACCGAGTTACAATTTATGAGCACCATAAATTAACGCCAATCAAGCAAAAATGAACATTTCAACAACATTGAACATTTAAGCAACAATCTCAATGACAAATAAGATCATATCATACACACAGATACATAAAAAGTTCATGTTCATACATAAACTGATAGGCACATAATATGATAATAAATTCAAGTCATAACATCAACTAGAAAGAGTGAAAGAGAGATCGAGAGATTGTCTTGTAGCCACTGTGAATCACTGATGCAAAAAAATTATACAAGGAGGGAAGAATTAGTGAATTACCATTGATGCAAAATTGTAAAGAAACTGAGAGTGAATTAAAAGATACAAGATCAAGTGTACCTACATTCCAGCTTGAGTCTCGAAACCCCACCTGCAATTCACACATCAGCTTGAGGTTGGTCCAGAGAAGGAGAAGCTACACAAAGAAACAAATATTAAGTTTGAATCTCTTAAGTCCTATCCCCACAAAATGTAAGCAAGAACAGATTACCTAATGAGTCATGGAACTCCAATTCAGCTTGCATTTGAGCTAAGTTTGCAATCTTTTCAGCAGCCATAGTGTTTCTCATCCACTATTGTAAACAAAGCAAAGCTTCAATCATATTGGGAGTTAAGCAACTTCTATAAGGGTCTAAAACTCTCCCACTTGTACTGAATGCTGACTCGGAAGCTGCCGAAGACACTTGAATGGCTAGCACATCCCTAGCAAGCTCAGATAATATAGGAAACTTTGCACTGTTACGCCTCCACCATGATAGCACGTCATAATCCATTCCCAAGGCATTTTTCAAACGTGGGACACGTTTCTCGATCAAGTATATGTCTAACTCACTACTAGCTTCCTCTTTAGCAGTTTCATGATCCAACTCTGAATACAGAGACTCCCTGTCATACCCATCCTCATCTGATAAATCAAAGACCACATCACTAACTTGTTCAGAATTCCCCATATCACTCCTGGATCCACCTTGAGAGAAGCTACTTAGTCTAGAGGCATACTCTTCATACAAATTCTTCATCAAGGTCTTAATTGAGGATCTTAGATGCATACTCTCCATGTTGTTTTTACCGTAGAGCTTGTCAAAGAAAATTGATGCAAATTGCATCTTATTCCTTGGGTCAAAGATACTTCCAATGATCACAAATGGATTCATGTTGAGAAGTCCATCCCAATACTTCTCAAACTTTGTCCGCATGGATTTTGCTTGTTCTTGTAGGACCTCATCATTGTTGAAGCTTAAGGAAATGAGATGCTGCTCAATGATGACTATCTCATTGTAGCAAAGTGAAGATGTCATTGTCTTCGATGCTGAAAATGCCACAGTGCAATTGAAATATAATCTCAAAAACTTCACCACCCTGTGAATTTCGTCCCAGCTAACACAAGTTGGAGGTCCAATCCTTTTCTATCCATCCTCTTCAGTCTCCATGAAATAATTAGTGTATAGTATGTCTTCTGCCAACAACTTTTCAAATGCTCCTCTGAATTTCAAAGCAGCTGTCAACATAAGGTAGGTCGAATTCCACCGTGTAATACAGTAAAGTGACACGCTTCTTCTACTTACCTTCCTTAACAAAACCCGCGGCTGAAATGATTCCAGTCTTGGGGTCGATAATCTCACATACTTTACCGCATTTCTAATGGCAACTACACTCTAATTCACTTTTTCTAAACCATCTTACACAATCAAGTTCAGAACATGCGCACAGCAATGCATGTGTAGATATTCACCATTTCTAACTAGTGAATGAGGACCCTTCAGCCTCCAAGCATCTCTAAACAACCTTAAAGCTTTATCATTCCCCCTAGCATTGTCAACTGTCACTGTAAAAACTCTCTCAATTCCCCAATCCTCTAGACACTAACTAAGTTGTGCAGCAATGGTTTCTCCTTTATGGTCTGTGACAGGTTTGAAGCTTATTATCCTTTTCTGCAACACCCAGTTTGCATCAATCCAATGGGCTGTCACCACCATGTAACTCCATGAAGTAGTAGGAGATGTCCATATATTTGTGGTGAGAGATACTCTCTTCTTATCACAACCAAACAGATTCTTGAGCATAGCTTTTTCTTGAATATACATTGAAAAAATGTCTTCAGTTGCTGTCTTCCTACAATGAACTGTGTACATTGGGAGTACATTCAAAAAGAATCTCCTAAACCCCTCTGATTCCACAAACGAAAAAGGCAGCTCATTAAGTACAATCAGTTCAGTCACTGACCTCATGAACAAGTCTTTATCATACTTCATGGCTGTGACTACACCACTACTATCAGCACCCAAAGCAGACTGAGAACCATGTGGAATAAATTAAAAAGTCAAAATTTCTCCCAATAGGCTCCACGAACGTAGCATCTTCTCCAGTCATTTAGAGCATTCGATTTTGGGTAAGCTTCTAATATGGAGAGAGTTATCTTTTCCCGTGATGTCGTCGTCATCAAGCTATACATGCGACCTTCGCATTTGAAATATATGACTACGTTTTCCCTCATTGTATCCTGCCAAAACAAAACAAAAACTCTGTCAGTAATACTAGTTTTACTAGTTCTACTACATTTGTAGTAATGCTAGTGTAACTAGTCATACTACATATATCTGGGTAATACTAATGAAACTAGTCATATTACATATATCAGTAACACTAGTGTAACTAGTCATACTACATATATTTGGGTAATACTAGTGTAACTAGTCATACTACATATATGTTCAATAGTTTCATATTCATTTCTACCCAGTTTGACAAGTTCTACTATCGCGACAAGAACTCAACTTGAATGGTTTCGGGTTCAAAACTATAATTCACTACGATTTAGTTCCATTTGCTACCCATTTAAAGACCTAATCGACCCCCAGAAAGTATGCATAAACTTCCAATGTCCATACCAAACACAATAAGTCAAATCTAATTGGATTGAGTCTCTAAAAATCTAAATTCAAATCCTCACTTCCAATGTCCATAAACTTCCAGTTGATAGCTTGATTTTCTTGCTATATTTCGACGGCGGGAAATGCATACTAAGCAGTTGTAGTGCTTCTGTTTCCTCGTCGATCTTTTGCAATAGACATTCATTCATATATTACTCATCTGCAAATAATATTACCAATATTACCCAGAAATCAGACAAATAGTTATACCCTAGTATTACCCAGAAATCAGATAAATAGTTATACCCTAGTATTACCCAGAAATCAAACAAATAGTTATACCCTAGTATTACCAGTATTACCCAGAAATCAAACAAATAGTTATACCCTAATATTACCAGTATTACCCAAAAATCAAACAAATAGTTATACCCTTGTATTACCAGTATTACCCAATTATACATGTATATCACACATAATAGTATTTCCTGTTCTACCAGTTTTACCATGATATCTTAGTGTTTTTCTGTTCTAGCAGTTTTACCCAGATATCCAAATAGTATTACCCTATTATACCAGTATTACCCAATTCAAATACTTACCATCTCCGCTGCATTTTCCACTCGATTTCCATCTTCTATCTCATCCTCGATACTCTCATCGGAGGAGGAGTCCGACAAGGTTCTACTACTACCACTAGTCTCTCCTCCGTCTTTGTCATTCCCTTGACATCCTTCGTTCTCTTCTTCTTCATTCTCTTCTTCCTCATTCTCTTCTTCCTCTGCCTCGACAACCGGACTTAACGTCGGAACTTCTTCTTAATTCAACTCCTTCTCATCCCTCAATTGGCTTATTTAACTCCGTCAGGGATGGCTGTGAACTCGTTGCTCCTCCATCTTCTTCCCCTACTTCTTTTCTTTGATCCGGAGCATCCGCTCCTCTCTTCCTCTTTCTCCCAGCCATAATCGACAACAAGGATTTCTCGAAGATAAAATGGAGATTTAAAGGGAGAGAATTGGCAACGAAATTGAGAGATATATGAAGTTGGAATCGAGAAATCGTGGAGATAACTGTTGTCTCTTTTGAATTTCTTAACTATTGAAGACGAATTGAATGAGAATCCACGTCGTGGAGAGAGGAGAGAAAACAAAAACGCAGAAAACAGAGAGAAAACGGTCTTGAGTGGAGTTGGCTCGTTGAGAGGAGTTAGGGTTCGTGGGTTTTCAGGCTAGATCCGAAATCGGTTTGGTTGGGTGGATAAAACCCAGGTTTAGAGCATGCAAATAGTCGGTACTCATAGAGTATCATTAACAATTTTTTAGTATTAATTTTAATGTTTGTTTATTGTTTGAGATTTTTTTATGAAACTAGTAATAAATTAGTTTCCATTGGTGAGACCGGTTTAAGTATCATAAATAAATAAAAAATTATTTTCAAAATCGAAAATAAATATATAAAAACATAGGATTACAAAAAGGTAATATTACAATCCAAAAAAACGTAGAATATACTTAAGCAAAAAAAAAAACATTAAAAGCATGATGATAAATATAATTTAGTCGCCACGAGTCAATTACCTTGACCCCATTTTTGCCAAATATGCTCAATCAAATCTTCTTTCAATTGTCGATGCGTTTGTTCTTCACGAATTTGAGCTCGATTGGCCATCATATTTTTCACATTTGTAGATGTCTCTGTAGAAAAAGAGTTGTCCACATGAGAAGTCCCGCTCCCTTCACCTTCTACGAAATCAGATAAATCGAACTAAGTCTCTTGGTCTCGTTCATCTTCTACAATCATATTGTGCAATATGATACATGCTCTCATTATCTTACCCATTCGCTCTTTATCCCAAAACAAACATGGGTTTCGAACAATAGCAAACCGAGCCTGCAAGACTCCAAAAGCACGCTCGGCATCTTTTCTCACTGCTTCTTGACAACTATAATGATGTTTTCGATCCTTGTGGTTGGGGAATTGATTGGATGAATGTTGCCCACTTCAAATATATACCATATGTGAGGTAATAACCCATTTTGTATTGATGACCATTGACTTCATAACTGACTCGTGGAGCTCAACCTTCTAATATATCATCAAACACCGGTGAGCGGTCAAGAACATTTATATCATTACACGTACTCGGAGCTCCAAAAAAAGCATGCCAAATTCATAGATCTTGTGATGCCATGACCTCTAAAACGATAGTGGGTTGTCCATGTCCGCGTGAATACTGACTTTTCCAAGCCGTAGGACAATTCTTCCACTCCCAATGCATACAATCAATGCTTCCTACCATTCCCGGAAATCCGCGTTCCTTTCCAGAATGAAGTAATCGTTGGAGATCCTCAAGTGTAAGCCGCCTCAAATACTCATTTTGAAATAAATTTATTATGCCATCTACAAAATGCTCTAGGGCTTGACTCACAGTGGTTGCCCCCATGCGGAAGCATTTGTCCATCGCATCGTTTGCAAGACCATATGCCAGAAGCCGAATTGCGGCTATAGACCTTGCTTTCCAGTAGCATCCCCCCCCCCCCCCCCCCCCCCTCCTTTGTTGGAAATATGAAAATTGAGAAAGACTTTGAACAATACGAATGAAAAACGGCTTGCTCATTCGAAATCATCGTCGGAACATGCGATCATGGTAAACGGGGTCATCCGAAAAGTAATCGTTCCATAATCGAACATTTTCTTCTTCGCGATCTCTCTCTATATTAGCAGCCATTTTTTTTTTTTTTTTCCGCTACACATCTACTGTAATTATCTAAACCATCTTCATAACATTTTTCAAACCTTTTCTCCATAATATCATCAAAAGTGTCATCATCATTACAATGAGATGCCATTATTTTTTTTTCAGAAGCAAAACTTAAAAGAAATAAAAAGCAATAAAACGTACAAGAAATTTTGAGAAGAAAAATAATTAAAAGAGATTTGTGTTTGAGAAGGAAAACAATTAAAAGAGATTTGTGTTTGAGAAGAAAAACAATTATAAGAGATTTGTGTTTGGTAATGGTAATTGACGAGGTTTTGGTAATGGTAATATGAGAAAGAAATTTGTAATGAGAGAAGAGTGACAAAGATTTGTATTGAGAGGATTTGTATTGAGAAATATGAGAAGAGTTTTGTAATAGAAATATGAGAAGAGTTTTGTAATAGAAATATGAGAAGTGTTTTTTGAATTGAACACAGACATAACTTATATATATAAGAGAAATGTGACAATACAAACAATTGTGACCATACAAAATAAACAAAAACAAAAAACAACAATCTGACCATAAAGTACCAATAATACATTGTGACCATAGAAAATGTTTGGTACATCCGAATAAAAAAAAGCAACACAACCCTACATTAACGCAACAAAGAACTAGATTCCTTTCCTTGCCGACACCACTAGCTTCCAAAAGGATCATGCACATAATTAAGCAAAGAAGATCAAATAATACTACAAATTAAGTAAACAAAAAAACAAAATATTACATCACATACCTAGAGACCAGAATACTCATTCTTAGACACAAACTCATTAAACCCAAACAGATATTCTTTGATAAGAGTGTTCTTAAGTTCAGTTTCCATGTCACCCAAACCATCAGACCTTCCAAGAAGGCTGTCAAGTAGATTCTGCTTAGAGAGTCTCTTTTTGACAGCATAATTCTCCTTCACTTTCCACAAACCCTTAAGTTCAGCCACATAACCAGCCTCAGAAACTTGGTTCTTTCCCTTACCTTTGGACTTGGCTGCCTTGACCCCTATAGGCCTTTGAACACTCACTTCTTCTACCTCAGAAAGTTTAGCTTTCTTCTTGACAGGTTTGATTTTTGTCTCACACCAATTGCACCATTTCTGATCAGTCTTGAGGATTCTCCACACATGCTCAAGACTGAATTTGCTTTTTTGATCCTGGTGGTAAAGTTTGTAGGCCAGCACTAGAATGTCATCTTCAGTCTCTCCACTGCGAGGAGTCCGAGAGGCATACTCGTAGCAGTTAGCAAATTTCATGATAAGCTCATTCATTTTTTGCCATTTCTGCTTACAAGTGTTTGCCTCTCAGATGGTGAACTTAGAGAAGCAGGACATGGAGCATAATATGCTGCAACCCTATCCCAAAAGGCAGATGATCTCTGCTCATTCCCCAGAACTGTGTCTTTGGATGTGTTGAGCCAGGCACTTGCTAGTGCCTTCTCTTCAGAAACACTCCATCTCACTCTAGGTTCCCTAGCTAAGCATGTGAGTGTTTGGGATTCAGAACAAGGAGGTTGTGAAGGACTGAGAGGGATTGGGTTTTCTTCTTGGCTAAACAACAGATTGGTAAAGGACTCAGAGGATGAAAAGTTAAAGTTGGAAGCCATTTTTTGTTTTAGTTCAGTTTAAGTGGTTTGTTTAGTTCTCATAGAGTTATTCTAAAGGCAAAGACTCAATAAAGAACCTAATTTCTATTGAATACGGGTGTTATAGTTAAGTTTATGTGTTTGGTTTAGTAATTGAAGTCACTGAGACACTAGCCATCAACATAACTTCAGTCTAGATGGCTAATGTCTCATCACCAACATTTAATTTCACATTAAGTTTAGGGCAATTGACATAAATAGCCCCAAAAAAGTTTATTTTTCCAAAACTAGCACAACATTTTAAAAATTCCACAAATAGCACCCTAAACTTTAATTAAAATAGAAAATAAAAGCAAACACTAACCTAATATTAAATTAAATCAAAATTTTTTTTAAATGGTAGAAATTGGAAATAGAGAACCCAAATATAATCCCACAAACTAATATTAAAATGAATCAAAATGTATTTTAAATGGTGGAAATATATACCCTAAATTGGAATTAATGAACCCAAACATAATAACACAAATTCAATATTAAAATGAATCAATTTCTCTTTTAAATGGTTGAAATATATACCCTAAATTGTAAATAAAGAACCCAAATATAATATTTTAAATTTATTTCTAATTTATTTTGGTTGAATAGTTTTTATATAAAAAATGTAATATTATTGGAAAAAATAAACTAATGATAATAATTTTAAAACAAAAACTTAATAGTTAATCAACTAGTGCTATTTTTGGAAGTTTATGGAGTGTGTGCTATAATTGTCCATAAAACTTGTTTTAGTGCCATTTTGGGGAATTTCTCTTAAGTTTAAGTTAAGGCTTCAATTGGTAACCATGATTTAGGAGAAAAGAATGACAAGGAATGTGAGATTCCTCCTTGTTCCTCAAATTTTTTACCATTTAAAAGTAAATATTTTTCCACATCATTCCTCACTAAATGAGGAACAATAGAACAAAAATGTTTCTCTCCAAAATTGATGAGGAACAAATTGGAACAAAAAAAAGAACACATAATTAATTCGTTTTTGATTTTAAAATAAATAAAAAATAATGTTTATTAATAATATTTGTATTCTATTATATAATAATCTCCATATCTTCACATATAGTAATAGAAAAAAATATTTTTGATTGAATTTCATCTTAAATTAATCTTAAGACTTTATTTGAAAATTCTATAAATATTAAAATATATTTAAAGATGCTTTTATTGTAAAATAATAATATATTTTAAACTACTCTTACAATTTTATTATAGGTTAATATTAACTATTAACATTTAACATTTAACATGAAATTTATAAATTTAGTTAACAAATTTTAGTTTAAAATTAAATATATAATAATTATACATAATATTAATATTAATATTTTCGTTGCAATTTCATTTATTTCTTATATTTTTATAAGATATTACTATTGTTTGGTTACCATTCATCATAATAATACATTTTATTCCTTCTTTGCATTTTTTCCTTTTTATTCCTCAGAAACTGTGTTCCATTCTGCAATGTTCTTTTTATTCATTTCCTTTTTGTTCTTTTAATGGTTACCAGTTGAAGCCTAAGTTTGTATTTAATTCTACTTTAAGTTTAAGTTCAGTTTGTCTCATCACCAACGACAAAAATAACATTAAACAGAACCTATTCTCACAGTTTGCACCAAACTGTAAACAGAACAACAAGTCACATAGATGACATTCAATTTACTATCTACTTCATCTGTATTCATTGTTCTATTTAAAGACAACTGTATTCTCAACCATATCTACCTAATCTCTATTAAATTCAAGTTTTCAGTTTCAATAAATTGTAATCAATTAAATTCAAGTATGCACTTCATAATCTCTATTCAATTCTAGTATGCACTTCCTAATCTCTATTCAATTCAATTTCAATAAAAATGTTCAGTTTCAATAAAAATGTTCAGTTTTGCACACAATTCAATTAAGTTTCAATAAATTCAATTATGCACTTAAAATTAACAATTTTTTTGGAGTTTACCTTTTCACCTACGCAGCTTCTCATCATTTTTTTATCTGACCACTCTCACCATCCTCTTACTCACACACAGCTGCAAAACCATGAAGACAATAGAATCAAGTACAAATATTACATCAAACACAAAGTATTTAAATCAAATCCGCAACAAAATTCTAGAAATCCTTCTATAATCATAACAAATTACAGTTCTTAATCATAATGAAATACAGTTCTATTCAATTGCAATCCGTAATTATCATAAACACCATTTCAATCCATCACAAGGAAATTCAATTTACAAAAATACAAAAATCAAACATTTTTTTTCAATTTCAAACCGTAATTATCAATAACCAAAGCCTAATTGATTTTCGAAAATGTTTCCACAATAAAAAACCAAACCCTAATCCAATTTCACCTTTTCAATCGAATTTCTAGAAACCCTAATCACAAACCAAGACTTTCATCTACCCAAACCCTAAACCTAGATCTACACAGAAGAAAAGAAAATTAGTAAGAAACTTATCTTCATCATCGTTGTCTGAATCAACAGAGATCTCTTCTCTCCAACCGATAGCTCTTCTTCAACGGAGATCTACGGAAGCTCCATGGAGACAGATGACGATGAGACACGAAGAGGTGAAGCATGTGCATGTTCTTCTTCAACGAAGATCTACGGAGAAACCGCCGGCGATGAGAAAGGATGAGAAGAAGAAGAATCGGCGAATCGCCGTTAGAGGAGAGGAGAGAAGAATCGAGAAGGCAAAATGGAAAAAAAAATTCTCTGCTTTCGTTTTCGCTGACCGTATGCTGCCACGTCACCCGATACTGAGTATCAAAGGTATCAGTGGACTGATACGGATCAGGCCCAAATATATGGTTTGGTCCATTAAAAAAAGGTTTTTGGGCTACTGATACTCAAAATAAATCACCAACTTAGTGTATAGTTTTAAATTTTTGGCTGGGGTAATATCGTAACTTCCGGCATTTTTGATTTAAAATTAAAAACAATTTATATTTTGTTTTTCACGGGGAGATATGGGGTTTGAGTTTGTCAAAAGGGGACTCCTAGACGAATTCTCGTTCGGGTTCATATCCAATAATGTTCTAACGACTTGCAACTTTGATCTACAATTTATATACATCATAAGTGGATGGGTATGTTCAGCACATGATTCAAAAGTATTAATGAGGCTTTAACAACGAACACTAGCACACTACAAATTTTAGAAGGTATTTTTTTTCTATGTATCCATAAGTTCTTCTATATATATTTTAGAAAAATAATTTAAGGCGAAAGGAGGCCTCCTTGTCTAAACCCTCGCTGAGGATGGACTCTTCCTCTTGGAGCACCATTTCAGCGTACTCGTTATCACCCTCAAAGATTTAGAAGTCAAGGTAGTGGACCACAAACCGAGAATGAGCTATTCAATCTACGTCATTGCCTCTTTAGAAAATTTCATCGAAAGAATCTTTGGATTTCAAATCTCGTTTTCTAATTTTCAAATCTGTACCTCCACATGCTTTTAAGACTAAAAAGGAACTGTTGCTTGCTTGCACTCGGTATAAATGGAGAGAATAACAAAGTCAATGAAGAAAACAATTACGAAGAAAATAGAGATGTAAGAATTTTCGAATCCCAACAAAGAGAATATGCTAACAATTGGAGAGACGAAATAACTTATAATATATGGATAAATGTTACAGGAGCTTGGACATTTGATGAAACAATTTTTATTACCCATTTAGAATTCTTTGGTTTCATCTTGGTTTGTTTCATGTTATAAGTGATTTTTCTATGGCTTTTGCTTTTTATATTTTTGTCGTGTATATGGATTGGTTTAAGAATCATGTGATGATAATCGAAAAATTATAATATGGGATACAGCTTTATCTCTCTATAATTGTACATCCATATGAAATAGCCAATAAAATAAAACAAAACAAGACCAATAAAACCAATAAACTATGTGGAGAAGAAATGTGTTGATTTTCAAAAAGAAAATTAAATTTTCAAAATATCAGGGTACCATCTACTAATTTGAAAGAGTTTTTATATGAATAAAAAGCTGTAGGAATTTTCGAATCCCAACAAAGAGAATATAGTAATAATTGAAGAGACGAAATAACTTATAATATATGGATGGATGTTAATGAAGAGAATAGCAAAGTCAATGAAGAAAACAATTATGAAGAAAATGGAGATGTAAAAATTTTTGAATCCCAACAAAAAGAATATGCTAACAATTGGAGAGACAAAATAACTTATAATATATAGATGGATGTTATAGGAACTTGAACTCGATGATTGAATTGAATTTTTTTTTTTTTTTGATTAAACAATTTTTAGTTCCTGTTTAGAATTCTTTGGTTTATGTTTGGTTTGTTCCATGTTATAAGTGATTTTTTTGTGGCTTTTGCTTTATATATTATTTGTCGTGTTTGGATTGGTTTAATAATCATGTGATGACAATCGAAAGAAAAATATGAAATAAATCTAACTATCCAAAATTCTTTATATTATAAAGCACAAGTCACGTGGCCAATAGAATTTTGCCACATAGATTTTTATTTCATAAATATTTTTAAAAAAATTCTAAACCAAAAAATTGAACGTGTTTGAAAAAGAAAAAAACTAAAATCTGTTATAAATAATTACTTTATTTTATGGTAAATATAAATAATAAATAAGAGAGAAATTTTATACCCACAGAAGGATCGGATACTGAATAATAAAGAGACGAGAGAAGGAGAAAGATTTCTTATAACTTCTTATTATTGAAGTATGAATTGTGTATCTTACAACGATTTGAACGATCGTTTATATAGAAGTTAAAAAGTAAATTACTGTGCGTGCATAGTGACATGGGCTCCACATATTTACGTAATGTTTATAACATGTGCGCATCTTTTTGCGACTTTACGATTCCTCCTTTTTAAGACTTTTAAAACACTCCCCCTTGGAGACCAGTGTCACTATGTCTCTTGCGTAATGTCCTCTGTTGCCTCGTTAAAAACCTTTCTAGGAAAACCCGGTGGGAAAAACCATAGTAGGTAAAAAGAGTGCAACCGCGCAAGGTCCCCCTCGAATGATCAGGATCATATTTTAAATGTCTTGTTGACGACGCATTCCAATGTTATGGACATGTTTCCTGAACATAGATGTGGGTAATGACTTCGTGAAGAGATCAGCAGAATTTTCGGATGATCGGACATATCTTACTTCAATATCTTTATTCTTCACGAGCTCTTGGGTGTATGAAAAGAACTTCGGAGGGATATGTTTGGTTCTATCACTTTTGATATATCCTTCTTTTGTTTGAGCAACACATGCAGCATTGTCTTCATATAAGATAGTTGGCTCCGTATTCAGGCGAATTCCACTACTTGTTTGAATGTGTTGACTTATTGATCGTAGCCACATGCATTCTCTACTCGCTTCATGGAGTGAATGATTTCAGCATGATTCGAAGAAGTAGCTACAAGCGTCTGCTTCTGAGAACACCATGATATAGCGGTACCTCCAATCGTGAATACGTATCCTGTTTGGGATCAAGCTTTGTGTGGATCTGATAAATATCCTGCATCTGCAAAACCAATCATTTGACCATTTATATTTTTAGGATAAAATAACCCTAAGTTAATAGTCCTTTGAAGATAAAGAAAGACATGTTTAATCCCATTCCAATGTCTTCGTGTAGGGGATGAACTAAATCTAGCCAGAAGATTGACTGAAAATGATATATCAGGTCGAGTGCAATTTGCAAGATACATAAGGGCTCCAATTGCACTTAGATACGATACTTCAGGACCGAGTATCTCTTCATTCTCCTCAAGTGGTCGGAAAGGATCACTTTCAACATTAAGTGATCTAACGACTATTGGAGTACTGAGAGGAGTTGCCTTACCCATATTAAAACGTTTTAATACTCTTTTGGTGTATGTGGATTGATGTACAAATATACCATTTTGAGTATGTTCAATTTGTAGGCCAAGACAAAATTTTGTCTGTCCGAGATCTTTCATCTCAAATTCCCCATTTAAATACTCCCTCCGTTTCAATATATAGGGCGTTTTGAGGTTTGACATGTTATTTAAGAAAAACAATATTTTTAATCTAAACATTATTTTTCCTTTTTAAAGCATTATTTAATAAAAACACACAATTAAAACAAATAAAGGAGAGAATACTAAACGTTACACAACTATCCGACAGCCCTAATTACTCAAAAACAAATAGAGCCAAATTTACAGTTTTAAAGAACAAACTAGAGCCAACTTTTACATAATTAATTTTGAAACTTAAAATTCAAATTTTTTTACATTACATTGGAGCCAAAGGAAACGTTGGTGAATCTTTTTATGATTATGTAAGGTTCAAATAAAAATGGTTTCTAATTTTTCTCACAAATTTAAATTGTGATTTGAGTATGTCGTCTCCAAATGATGAGAATGAGTATTTGTGTGATTTAAACAAAACTCCACCAAGAGAAGAAAATCTTAACAATGACGGTGAAGATTTTCCAATTGTTCTAGGTATTTTTTTGATTAAGTTTTTTTTTAGAAAAAAAAAGTCATCTTCTTTTTAGATAAAATAGAGTTTAGTTTCCAGACGCAACCTCATCAACATGAGTAGGACACTTTTTTTTTTCCTTTTGCATAATACTGGAGTTTCTTATTGTTTTCACTAGGACTCAGGACCCCCGCGATGTCGCGGGAGAATATATTTCAAAAATTATTTAAAAAAATATCAAACGAAAAAATCATAATGAATTGTAATAATTTTGAATTTTTTTAGTGACAAATCAATATATATTTTACAAAAATTATGAAAAAGAAAACCCTCACAAGCATTTATTAAATATATTAATATTAGAAAAACAATAATTTGTAACTAAAAAACTATTCTCAAGTGCAAAAAGCATAAACTAATAAACCAAATATTACAATGGTTTGATAACTAAGCCAAAACGTTCAACGTCAAATAAACCAAATGCTATTGTGTTAAATTAAACGGTAACAACAATTCATTTAAATATATTTAGTATTTAAATATTTTTTAAAAATATGACGAACTTATCCAAGAAACGCAACCGTAGATATCAAATATTCCAAAAACTGCAACGATTCGTCAATTATACCAAATGTTGCAATAGTTCATCAAATATACTAAAGATAACAATGGTTCGTAACACAAAACCAAAAGTTGCAATAATTCGTCAAATAATCCAACTGTTGAAACAGTTCAACTAAATAGTTACAATCTCATTTAAATACATTTTAGTAATTAAAAATTAAGAATTAAAATAATAATTTATGAAAAGTTATACCGAGAGACGCGGCGGTAGATAATTAAACCAAAGGTTTATTTTGATAAACCAAAAATTACAATTGTTCGTGAAATAAACTAAATATTTAAACCAAAGGTTGCAATTGTTCGTAAAATAAACTAAATATTGCAATGATTCGAATAAGCGGTTTCAACTGTTTATGAAGAGTTACAATAAAAAACGCAACCGTAGAAAACATTCAGAATGCAATTTATACAAAAAAAAAAACATAACCGTAAAATATACATTTTAATTAATAAAAACATTAACGAAAAGTTGCGATAAAAAGACGCAACCGTTCAGATGTGCAAATGGTATTTATTAGATTGCTATTATATATAGATTTTTCAGTTCCTACTTTTTCTCTTTTTATTCTCTTTCTCTAGTATACGTTCTCATATTATTGTTTGTTTGAGGATAGTTTTTAATTATTTTAATAATCCAGTTATTACGCTCTTCAAAATTAGTTACGATTTTGTTGTTTACATAGTTTAACGTCATGACTCATGACAAACAAATTTGCTTATTATGTTTTCTCTAATTTATTTTTTCTAATATACAGAAAATGAAGGTGCATTTCAAGATGAACACAATTCGCGAAAAACCAGAAAAAATCTGTCAAATGAAGAGCGACATGAGATTTTCAATGCTTTATTAAAGAAGAGTACTGATGGAAAGTTGGGGAAAAAATAACTAGAGAAGTTTCTAATCAATTTTTGGTGTCTATACGAGCTTGGTGCAAAGGATTTGGCAAAGAGCAAAAGAAACGGCTAATAGCGGAATAATGGATGTATCTCATCGAAGATCTATAAATTGTGGTCGCAAAAGAATCTTGCTTGAGCCACACAAAGTCGTTGATATTCCGTTGCACAAACGAACAACTTTGAGGTCGATGGCCATAGCTATGGATATGAGTCTTACAACATTATTTAGACGGAAGAAAGAAGGATTTATTCGGCGTCATACCAATACCATCAAGCCCCATTTGAAGGAAGACAATATGAAAGGTAGACTACAATTTTGCATCTCTATGTTGGATAAAGATACTCTATCGCATGAACCAAAGTTTGTTGATATGTACAATACGGTGCATATCGATGAAAAATGGTTCTATATGACGAAGAAGACCGAGAAATATTATTTACTTCCGATGGAAGAAGAGCCGCGACGTACATGTCAAAGTAAGAATTACATCGGAAAAGTAATGTTTTTAGCGGCGATGGCTCGTCCAAGGTTTAACGAAGAAGGAAAAGAGGTATTTTCGGAAAAAATTGGAATATTTCCTTTTGTTAATATGGAGCCAGCTAAGAGACGTAGTAACAATAGAGATGCTGGAACTTTGGAACTAAAAGCGGCAACGTCTATCAAAAGAGAAGATATAAAAGCGTGTTTGCATGTGGGGATAAAGATTTTCAAGAAGTTGCGTCAAAGAATGGTTTTGATATCCAATTGATG